TCCTGGCTTTCTACATTGCCTGGATGGTTTATCTCTGCCATCCAGGGTGTGTTGCCTGCACTTTTCCTCGCGATTCTAATGGCTATCCTACCCCTGATCCTTCGCTTTCTCAGTCGAACACAAGGTCTCTCCACGGGTATGGCCGTCGAGCTGACCGTTCAGAACTATTACTTTGCATTCCTGTTCGTGCAACTGTTCCTGGTTGTGACCATCTCGTCCAGTTTTTCGACCATCATCAGCAACGTGGCCGACGTTACCAGCTGGCCTGAACTTCTGGCGCAGAACATTCCCTCGTCTAGCAACTACTTCTTCTCGTACATGATTCTTCAGGCAATGTCAGTGAGTGCTGGAGCTCTGGTCCAGATCGTCAACCTGGTGAGCTGGTTCATTCTCGCACCAATCCTGGACAAAACGGCGCGGAAGAAATGGGGCCGCACAACCAATCTGAATCAGATGCAATGGGGTACATTCTTTCCGGTGTATACCACGCTTGCGTCCATTGGTAAGCCTGATTCCTTACTTTTCCGATGGCTTTTTTTGCTAATTTGAATTTTAGGGTTGATCTACTGTGTCATTGCACCTCTTATCCTGATCTTCAACGTGATCACGTTCAGTCTCTTCTGGTTCGTCTACCGGTATAATACGCTTTACGTGACCAAATTCCGCTTCGATACGGGTGGACTGCTTTTCCCTCGAGCCATCAACCAGCTGTTCACTGGTCTATATGTCATGGAGCTCAGTCTGATCGGACTGTTCTTCTTGGTCCGGGACACGCAGGGCGAAGTTGCTTGTGAAGGACAGGCGATCATCATGATCATTGTCTTTATCCTGACAGCCGGCTATCAGATCCTCTTGAATGACGCGTTTGGGCCTCTGTTCCGTTACCTGCCCATCACGCTGGAGGACGACGCGGTGCGCCGTGATGAAGAATTTGCTCGGGCGCAGAGAACCCGCCTAGGTCTCCCTAATGAGGAGGAAGAAGATCCGAATGACACTATCGAGCACCAGCTGGCTGAGCGTGAACATCGTCAGCATCAGATTGACCGAATGTCGCACGATATCGAGTTAAAGACGCTGGAGTCTTCCTCCCCCGAGCGGCAAAATCACCACACCATGCATAGGCCACATCTCGGACCGCAGCGTCGATCCTGGGCTGAACGATCACCAAACCGGCGATCACCATACTACAAAGCCCACTCCAATACTCAAGTACCCAGTGTCCAGCGTCTGCGCGACAGGATCGCACAAGACGCTGAGGCCCAAGGCCCTCCTTCGCGCAACGTTGGGACCACGCTCTTTTCCGGCATCCACGATGAATTGGAGGACTTGACACCTGACGAGCGTGATCAGCTCGTTCAACGTGCCTTTCAACACGACGCATTGCGTGCCAAGCGACCAGTGATCTGGATCCCTCGCGACGATCTTGGGGTCAGTGACGACGAGGTGTACCGCACACAGCGGTTCAGCAAGCACATCTGGATCAGTAACGAGTATCAGGCGCTGGATGGGAAATGCCACACGATCTTCAGCCGCAGTCCGCCCGACTTTTCCGAGGTGGACCTCATCCAGTTATAAGGCGTTTTGCTGTATCAGTAAGCTGTATGATTGACGACTATTTGTTTTGGTTTGCAGTTTTTGCTTTATTCGGTTCATGGGATAAGGAATTTGCATTTACAGGCGTTGGGTGCCATTCTCAAGGGCTATAGGAGAGCGTGTGTACATGATTACCCAAGATGCCATAGATGGAGATACATCACAAGCAATGTCTATATAGTACTAGCAACACCAACCAAATTTCTATCCACCTCAATCCATAAACTTACAGATAGGCAACCGGTACTTCTCAATCCTCCAATACGGCCTTCTCACACCCTCCCACTCACCCTCCAACGCCGGCACCTCCAACTCCTCCCACTCGACATCAAACCCAGCCTCAAACAAATCCATCTCCACCACCTTCTGATAAACATCATAACTAATCTGCCTATCAGCCCCCATCCCATTAAAGAATCCCCAACGCCCACTCCCATTCTCCCCATCCTGCTCCAAAATCCCAATCACCTGTTCCGAAAAGAACTCCCGGAAATCACTATACGACTCGGCAAACGTATCATAGTAAATCGCATCAACCACCACTCCCTCGCCCACCAACGCAGGCAACACATCCTGCCACCGGCCCTCATGGATCCGGACCCCAGGCTTCTGATCCCACCCCTTGCGCTTCATCTCCGCAACCACTTCCGGGTGCGCCTCCACGATATGGTGCTCACTGGGGCCATGCGACTGCAAGAACGTATCGACAATACCCATTCCATGTCCGATGTTCATGACCCGCAGCCCGGGGGTAGGGAGCAGCTTCGCCGCGGACTTCTCCATGATGGTGGATTCCCACGACATCATCACACCGTTTTGGTCGCTGTCGAGAAGTCGGTCGTTCGTGAAGGTTAGGTTCGAGTCGAGGTAGCGCGGTTGCGTGACGGAGGGGTCTTCTGTTGCTGCTGCTGCTGCTGGTTGTTCTTCAGTGGTGGCAGTTTCAGCTTCAGCTTCAACAGCAGTAGTAGCTTCTTCAGCACCCTCTCCCTCCTGCTGCTCATCTTCATCCTCCTCCTCCTCCTCCTCATCATCATCCCCTAACGCCTCCCACCCCTCCTCCAACCTCCCCAACAACAACTCCGCCCGAACGCCCGCATCCACAATCATCTCATAAACCTCCATCAACCCCAACCGTCTCGCAATACATCCCGGTGTCTCATCATTCAAATCCAGATCATTCCAGATAGCGCCCTCGCCGAGCAGGTACTTGACTGTTTCGACGACGCCTGCGCTGTCCCCATCGGCATTTGTGTCCACGCCATTCGTCTGCTTCTCGGTATCGTTCTCCTTCTCCTCCTCCTCGCATGCAGCAATGGCCGCGTGCAGCGGCGAGAATCCCGTCTCAGGGTCCTTGACGTTGGCGGGGTTTCCGGGCGTTTGGTTCTCGCGGATTAGGCGGCGCAGGAGTGGGATGTTGTGGGTGGATGCGGCGAGGAGGATTTCTTGGATGTTTAGGTCCAGGTTTAGGGCCATGTTGGGGTCTTGGGTGAAGGTTATTACGGGGTCGGTGGATGGGTCGGCCATTTTTGGTTGATTGGTATGTCTGGTTTAACGGGAGAGTTTAGTTGGTTGTTATTGTTGTTGTGAGGATGGTGGGGGAGGAATTGGATATGCGCGGCGGCGGGGTGGGGAGGATTTTATTTTGAGCGGGGAGTGGGATTGGATTGGGCTGGGCTGGGTTGGGTTGGTGTGGTGTGGGTGGTTTCGAGAGACTTACGGTTAATTTGATTATGGGAGAGGTGTTTTGGGGTTAGAACAGGTTGTAACTCCCATGTAGAGAATGTGTTCTACTGGGTTGAACTGGTGGTGGATGATTCCGCTGGTAGAGATTTACGCCGCCGCATTCGTCCCCGCCGCAGCTCCGCTGCTACGGCACATCCATATTACACGATAATTTCATACACTGACTGTAATCACCCGACTTATGTAGAAGAGAAGAGAAACTGATCGCCGTTGCTCGAACCTGAGAATAACTATTTGTACAAGTACCCGATTCCATTCACCTGTCGTCCTGTCGGACAATCTTCATAGCGCCATGTCTTGCTACACCATTAACAAAGTCCCCATTGCTCTCCATCGGTCCATCCATCCGCTTATTTCGTATCGTCGGAGCCCGCGTTGACGTTCAAGCCCAGTCCCTGGCTGTCCAGGTACAGCTTGTTCCGGCCACCGTTCTCCTGCAGGATCTGGGCGATGTGGCGGGCGTTCTCGATCTTCCGCAGCTCGATGTAACTCTTGCTCTTCTTGATGGCGTCACCGATCAGCTCGGCTGAACGAGCCTCACCCTGAGCGCGCACAATGAATGCTTGCTTCTCCTGGCGGGCCTTGTCGACCAGGAATGCGGCCCGCTGGGCTTCCTGCTGAGCAACCTGCTTGGCTTCGACGGCGGCGGTGAATTCGGGGGAGAAGGTCAAGTGCTATGGCAGGTATTAGTGACATAAGTAAGAGAAGAAGCAACAGTAGGATGAGCATACCGTAAGCGACACATCGTCCAAGGCAATGTTGAAGCGAGCAGCCCGACGAGCAAGATTCTCCCGGACCAGGCGGGCAACGTTCTCACGCTGAGTGATCAACTGACTGGCGTTGAATTGTGCCACCACGCTCTTCAAGACCTCGTTCACAATCGACGGAAGAACACGCTCGTCAAAGTCCTGTCCCAGGGTACGGTATATTTGGGGGAGGGCATCGACACGGGGTCTGGACAGGACACGGCAGGTGATGTTCACCATCTGCAAGTCCTTGGTACCGGTAAGGGAAGCAATATTGCGCGGCTTTGCGCGGACATCGTAGATAATAGGAGTTTCGACCCAGGGAATCCGAAGATGAGTTCCTAAAAGGATAACTTGTTAGATGAAGCCAAATGCAGCACATTGGATATGCGTACCTTCACTGTAGATTTCCTTCTTGACACCACCTACTCTGGAGTACTTGATCGCACGGTGACCACCATCAACTGCAGTAGCCGTCAGTAAAAGCACCATTTCCACCCGTTATGCACGAGAATTAGCTCACCGTTAAACATCGAGTTGGAAACAGCATATACTCCAAGACCAGTGAGGAACAAAGTAGCGAGGCCCATGCCGGCACGAGGATTACCACCACCGAAGCCGCCACCAAAACCGCCGCGGCGGTTTTGGAGGGCCATCTGGAGCTTGTGCAACTGATCCCTAGGGTTCCCGGACATGGTGATGGGGGGAGATGAAGGTGAGGGAGAGACGGGGAAGAGGATTGGTGTAAGCGGCGTCACTTTGGCTTCGTCGCTTTGGAAGCTCGAATTCGCGGCAAATCAATCGCCCGATTCGTCACCGCCTTGGCAGATGCTGCCGCTTTTCGACATCATCTTCGCTCTACAGACTTATCTTTCATTCATCTCCCATTACTTCAAAGAACTTGTTGCCATTGCTTCTCGGGTGTTGCTCCCAGGGCATTGTTTAGTTCTTCTCAGCTTCTTGTCTCCAGGTTCCAGAGAATTTACCATCTCCTCCCTCGCGCATCTTCCTCATATCTCCAACACCTCCTCTTCAACCACCAAAACACCTATCTATACCATCCCCTCTTTCCTCCTCAACCACAATCATGGCTCCCGGAGCCGGAAAGAGTGTCTTCCTGGGGAATATCCCCTATAGTATGTCTTCTCCCTTTGACTTTCGTCCCCCACAACCACCCCAATGGCATTAAACTAACCCATCACTCTCCAGACCTCACGGAAGAACAAGTCAAAGACATCCTCAGCTCCGCCGGCACAGTAACCAAGTTCCGCCTGATGATGAACCCCGAGACTGGTAAACCCAAAGGTTACGGTTTCGCCGACTTCGCCGACGCCGATGCGGCCGCCTCCGCTGTCCGCAACCTGAACGACTACGAGATCATGGGCCGTAAGATTCGGGTCGACTGGCCACACAACAATGAAAAGGACTCCATACCCCCCGACTACTCCCAGCTCTCTGCACCCGCTGTCCAAGACGGCTCCCAACAGCAACAACAGCAACAGTCCGCGCCTCTCCCTCCTCTGCCCCCGGGTGTCGAAGTTCCTCCGCATCTCGATTGCCCCAACGCCATCTCTCAGACACTCGCTTCCCTGCCCCCGAACCAGCTCCTCGATGTCCTCTCCCAGATGAAGTCGCTTGTTATGGCGGATCCCGCCAGAGCGACAGAACTGCTACGCCAAGCCCCTCAGCTCGCCTACGCAATTTTCCAAGCCTTGCTGCTCATGAACCTGGTCGATTATGGTGCCCTCGGCTCGGTGGTGGAACAAGCAAGCCAACCTAGTGCACCTGCGCCCCCTCCTGCCGCCGCGCAAGCCTTCCAGCCCTTCTCCGCTGTACCGGGACCGGTGTCTACGCCTCCAATGGTCAATACTCCTTTCGCTGCCGCTGCACCGCCGCAACAACCTCCGCAGGCTATGCCAGGACAGGAAGAGCTTCTACAGCAAGTCCTCAGTATGCCGCAGGCTGCGATCGATGCGCTCCCACCCATGGAGCGCAGCCAGATCATGCTCCTCCGGCAGCAGTTGATGCAGGGTGCTATGCGGTGATTGGGCAATACCTCATATCTACCCCTCTGAATCTATCTTATACCCCCTCCCTCTCCCTCCTATCCCCTAAATGAGGAACAAAAAGGAACCGGGCGCAAAACAGCATCAGGCAGCACCTCTGATGCAGGATGTCTCGGAACGAACAACCTACTTTGTTCTACAATCCTCATTATCTCTCCATCTTGATGTTAGCAACGTCATGGCTTTCATTGATTGACTGATTGATCAACAACCGGAACCGGGTGTGAGTTTTGGCGCAATACGGGCATGTTGGTGGGGTTTCAAATTGCGGGTTCTTTATTTTTCTTCTACTGAAGTTGCGAGACACGGGCTGAGATTTCCCTCTCTCTTTTTCCTTACTCGCGAAGTTCCGGAATGTACATGATAGTATAGCAGCAGCTGTAGCGGATATCCCAGCAAATTGGTTTTGCTTCAGACAGACCAGCAGTATTGATTGTAAACTTCTAGTATTCTATCCATGTCCTCGTCTTAACCTGTATTACTTTCTACGGTTATAAATTCCCAAATATGAATACTATATCCCCAGGCCACATACTATATATCAAGTATCTTCTCTATATCCTCGTCGTATTTTGTATTACTATCGTAAATTATAATATATATGCATTCCTGCCTCTCGACCACATACTAGAACCTCCATATCCCGATCGTAACTCGTTATAATTCTCCTTAGTAAATTGGTAAATTCATAACCCATGCAATCTATTCTCTAGACCACATAGAAAGTACTAGTACCACATCTATACTACGTTCGTATCTACTTATATTAGTAAGTGAGTACTTTCCTACTCATCAAGAATTTGAAGAGATGTGTTTTGTTTTCTGACTAGACCACATACTAGTTCCCCAGTACCTACTACTATCTCATCGAAACCCTCATCTTATCTAGTATGTATCACTTCTTCCCTTGTAATTAACCCAAGTATGTAGTTAGCATTCTCCAGATTAGTAATGATAGTAGTATCTAGTACAACCCCCTGCCCTGATATCTCCAAAGTACATACTCAACACTGCCTTCCGAATCTATTTTACTGATTTAGCTATATTTTTCTCTTTTTGGATTTACTTGCGTGTATATGTGCTACAGTTAGACTGCGTAGTAGCTGTATAGTAACGATGGATACTGAAATACCGCGTACTAGTATCCATCTTCCTGTCTGGTCAGTGTGTAGCTAGCTACATTTTGAAGTAGCGATACATCATAGTCTACTGTGTGCCAGGCACCAGGGGCACATCTATGAGAAGACGTCAGTAGTAGACAGCATAATGCACGACAAGGCAGAGGCCTGCTTATATTGTATCTAGATAGTCTTGCTACCACTCCGTCTACTCCCATATCAAGCAGACCACTCTCAAAAACAACACAATACAAGCCCTCCATAGTTCCTCGCCGTGCACATCTCGCCATGGGTTCACTCGTTTTCCAAATCCCCCCATACAACAAAAACTGTCTCGTGAAGCTTCACAAACAAGCAGCACACCATGGCGACAGCCATTCACTAGTAGGAAAAGTTTTCATAAGCCCACACACGGCCTTTCCCCCCAAAATTTCCTCTGCCATGTTTCTCTTGTGTTATGTCCTCTTCCTATCTATCTCTCCTCCATCTCATCTTTCACTTTGTATCTCCTCCACGTGACCTTTTTCGACCCTATCTTCACCCTCCATCACAACATTCGTTCAGTGCTTCTGAAGCTTCAAGTCTTCGTTTTGATCGTTCGAACCTCTTTATAAAGATTCTCTGTAGTCTTTAAAATGTCTTCTTCTCTGAAAAGAACCTTGTCCTGGTCGTCGGATCTTCCGACGCGTCCTTCGAAACGGATGGCGCAGGAGATGCCCGAAGATGATGCTATCCTTTCTTCGGATGAATATGATTCAGACATCATGGACTTTGAGCGTGACGAACCTGTCCATCCTTCTAGCGAGGATGAGTACAACGAGAACGGTCTTAATCTTATGTTGCCTGAAGTAGTCCGGTCCCAGTTGCCATGTGGTCCTCGATCTCCTCGGACCCAGCTCGCTTTGCATCTCCCTCCCCTCCATGACCTCAACGACATCTATAAGTCGATCACAGAAAAGGCAGTGGAGCTGGGATTTGACCGTGTATTGTCCCATCTAGGCTCAAGACGCCTTCGCATTGCGACTGTCTGCTCCGGCACCGAGTCCCCTATTCTGGCTTTAGAAATGGTTCAGAAACGTGAGTGATCTGACATTAGCCTTGTCTATATCGAAACTAATTTGTCTGTAGATCTACAGGAGCAGTTCGATATGACTTTCGAATTCCGTCACATCTTCAGTGCTGAGATCGACCCTCTCAGACAGGCGTACATCCAGCGAAACTTTCGTCCACCTCGCCTCTTCCGTGATGTGAGGGAACTCAATCGTCGTGTAGCGTAAGTAGAGCCCTCACTTTCTGCTGTTCAGGCCTAACTCGATCGCACTAGTCAAACAGCGTATGGGTCTTTGGAAAAGGTTCCCAAGAATCCTGATATCTTGGTTGCCGGGTTTTCATGCGTGGACTTCTCGAATTTGAATAACAAACGGAAAACACTTGATGATAAAGGTGAGTCGGGAGGGACTTTTTGGGCCATTATCCGGTACGCAAAAGCCTATAGGCCTCCCTTGATCATACTCGAGAATGTCAAAAGCGCCCCATGGAAAAAAATCCAGACGTACTGGCAGGACATCGACTACCATGCCACTCACCTCGACGTCGACACAAAGGCATACTATCTGCCACAAACACGGGAGCGAGGATACATGCTCTGTGTCGATAAGAAAGCCACGGACAAGGATGAATCTTCACGGTTCCAAATAGGTCGTTGGTCACGCACCATGACTGAATTCAGGCGCCCCGCTAGCTCTCCAGCCGGCATGTTTCTTATTGACGCAGATGACAAAAGGCTCGAACAAATTGAGTCCGATATGGCGACACGCGCAAAGCTGGCTCGTAAACCGGTAAACTGGGAAAAATATCAGGCCCGCCATCTGTCTTACCGTCAGGATAACGCTCTCGGTGACAAACGCCCAGTAAGTAAATCGCAGGACGATGGTAGCTGTCGTATGCCCGACTTCTGTTGGAGAAAATGGATGGCGTCCTTGCCAGAGCGCATTTGGGAGACTTTGGACATGAACTTCCTGCGCAAGATGGCAGAAGGTTACGACATGCACTTCAAAGAGTCAGTGACAATCTCCTCTCTAAACAACTGATTGAAACTGACCTGTATTAGGAGATGCATCGAACTCTCACAGGGGATCGAACGTGAGATAGACGTACGGGCCCCAGGAATCGTTGGGTGCATCACTCCAGCCGGTATCCCATATATATCGACCAGAGGCGGCCCTCTCTGTGGTCTCGAGTCGTTGGCATTGCAAGGCCTGCCTCTCGACCGACTTCTACTGACACGTGAAACCCAGCGTGAGTTGCAAGACCTTGCAGGAAATGCAATGACCTCTACGGTCGTCGGTGTAGCGATACTGTCTGCATTGATCAACGGACATAGAATCCTAAAGCCAGGCCAAGGCGCACCAATCGAAAAAGCATCATCTCGCAAAAACCACCGTGTTCTGCCTCAAGACGGTCATTTGATGACACCACATGACATACAGCTCACCTGTGCTGCTCGCACCGATATTTCGCAACTCCAGATGCGGGCAGCAAGCAGTGCAAGATACTGCGTCTGCGAGAGACAGACTAACATAAGCCCGGGTATCTTGAGATGCACCTTATGTCACCACACGGTCTGCTCCGAGTGTGGAGGTAACCCTTCACATGCTTTCGAACGCTATGATGATCTCCACCGCACCATGCCCTTGGACTTTGTTTGTGAACTCAATCGTGATTTGCCAGCTAGATTAGTGATTTCTGGCATTTCTTCAGATTGTTATGCGTCTTTGGCTCGCGACACGTCGCTGAATTGTCCTGCGTATGTCTGGAAAGAGTTTTTGGATATAATTGAGCCAGCTGTTGGCGATGAACTCCGGATCCTGACTATCAAGCGGAGCGAGATCTGGACCATCCAATATGAAGGCAAACACTCTTTCTTACGTCTGTTGATCAGTGCGTCCAGCATTGAATGGAATTTGTTTGCCAAACCTCCAAAGGATACTCCTGCACTTTGTCTGATACGAGAGATCCTGTCTAAGCCCATTGCTCGCATGACACCTGTGTCTGCGTCACTTATGGAGGGAGATTGGGAAGTCTGTGGGCCTCTGAGCTCCAGACGGACGCTGTATTTCTCCGGATCTGGCGAGAAAGTCGATTCTTATGAAGTTGAATGCGGCCTCAATACTGCAGAGGTTGATGGAACAGATCGTTGGACGAAAATTCAAGTTGAAGGTCCCGATTCAGCGGTGGCGGGCCTAGAGGCAGACATCCGGGGGACGTATGATCTTCTGCCAGACTGCGGTACGGCACACGCTTCACTGCACAAAAGATCAGCTGGTGAGTACGATCGCCCGGTATTCCTCTTCCTGGACCCGACGAAGCTCGGGGATGCAAACAAAGATTTCTTCGTATTTGCCTGGGACCATGAACGTGTTCGCGGTTACGAACAGAGAAAGACCATCGCAGAGGTGTCCCACTCATGGCGTTCACCCAAAGCAAGCGAGGTTCCACAGCCCGTTCACATCTACTTCCGTCAATGGATTAGAGCTCCCAAGGTGGCCCTGAACCTGTACCTCCCTGGCGCACCTATCTCATGCCAAAGGTTGAATGAGGCGACCAACATCACGATTTCCCGATCAGGGTGTCATGAGGCTAATATTCCTTTGCTCTCATTTAAAGCAGAACCTGCAGCCATGGAGGTGCATTGGAAGAAAGAATCGTGGGAGATCATAAACCCAATAGACTCACCATCCTTGCTTCAGGACCTCTCTTGGCTCCTACAGAAAGCGGCAGTCATCTCAGGCTTTGAGGACTGGAACGCAGCCTCTGACACTGACACCCCTGGTGAGAACGGTAACTCGACATGCACATGTGTGCCGCTGAAACCGCGCATGATATGGGGCCGTGACAATAGAGGACGGATCATGGCCTATGAAGATCCATACGATGCAGCTCTCTATGAGCGCCAGGCGAAAGCAAGACCCCCGCCGTTCCTGATCTTCCGAAAGATCGATGAGCAGGGCCTGGCTGACTTGCGGGTCACTCTCAACGTCCAGTACCTATTGCATCAGGCGTATGATAAGTTGGTGCAACATAGTATTGTCAAAGACGTGTCGTTTCACTGGCGCCTGGTCCCGAATTCGTTCGATAGTAGAAACGCCATGTTTCCCAAGTTCAAGCTTACAGACAACAAGTCTGACGTCGCAGCTCCACAGCCGCCTAACTTCCGTCTGGCTCTGCGGCCGGAGCAACTGAGATCACTATCGTGGATGGTCCGGCAAGAAGATGATGATGTCCCACCGTTCACGGAAGAAGAGACGGAGGAGGCGCTGCTTCCATCGTTGATGTGGCGCGCAGAGGGGCGAGTCACCAGTCAGAAGGCTATTCGAGGTGGTGTCATAGCTGATGATGTTGGTTACGGAAAAACAGCCATCACCTTAGGCTTAATCGATACGCAGCATGGAAGGGAGCGCCTGCCAACCCCTGCGGAAATTGACGGGTTTATTCCGTGCAAGGCAACTCTTATCGTTGTGCCGCAAATTATGATCCAGCAATGGCAATCTGAAATCTCCAAGTTTCTGGGTTCTAGATTGAAGGTCTTGGTATTCGCACAGGCGAGTTCATTCGCAAAAGTGTCCATAAGTGACGTTCGGCGGAGTGACATCATTCTAGTATCCTGGTCAATCTTCAACAACCCAGCATATTATGAGAAGCTCCAGAAATTCACAGGCACTCCTCAGGCTCCCAAAAAGGCAGGGCGAAATTTTGACGCATGGTTTAAAGACGCTCAAGTCGCACTGAAAGAGCAAGTCCGAATTTTGACCAGCCAGGGTCCAAGCGCGCTTCTCGCGTCGATTCGTCTTAAGCGACAAACTATCAAGGGTTCTCAAACACATCTCACATATTGCCCGTCCCGGCGCCTCCGTGGTAGTCAGTACGTCAAAGGCAACCACGCGTCAGAACAAGAGGGCCATGAGGTATTGGCGGAGATATCGAGTGGTGAGGATACCGAGACAGAAAGCGAAACCGACACCCAGATGCTGAGATCGAAAACGGACCAGTACCTCAAAATCCAGAGTCATGAAAAAGATGAGTCGGCTGAGGAACCTGCATTAGAATCAGACGATGACACTCAATATGAAGATTCTGCGACGGAGGACAAGCAAGTCCGACCAGGTCTTCCCAAAACAGCTGGCCGAAAGGCGAAAAAGTGGGACGATCGAAAGGTGTTCAACATAAGCAAAAGCAGAACTCAGGATTGGGGGGCCGTCAGAACCCCGTTTCTTCATATGTTCTCTTTTGATCGTCTTGTCATCGATGAGTTCACATATGCAGACCCGGAAAGGCTCAGCCCGCTCCTCTCACTCAAAGCTCGATCGAAATGGGTACTGTCAGGGACACCGCCTCTCAATGATTTTGCCGACGTCAATGGCATTGCACCTTTCCTCAATGTGCATCTCGGAGTAGACGAGGATGACCGTCGATTACAAAACAAATATGTCAAGCTGCGACTCAAGCAGCGCTCTGCTGCGGAAGCGTTCCAATCGTTACGGGCACCCTATAGCCAAATCTGGCACGAACGTCGACACAAGCTAGCCCAGGGATTCTTGGACCGGTTTGCACGGAGAAATGTTGCTGATATTGACGAGATCCCATCGTCAGAGCACATAATTGTGGTCCAGCAATCACCGGCAGAACGAGTAATCTATCTGGAACTCTGGAGGCAGATTATGACATACAACCGCCAGCTCCGTCGAAGTGGCCGAGGAAGATTCAGCAGTGACCAAGCCAACCGGTTGGACGAGATTATTGGAACAAGTTCAACGGCCGAAGAGGCGTTGCTCAAACGTTGTTCATCCCTAGCGCTTCATGATCGATGGAACGAAGACGGCGAGCCCGAGCTAACAACATGCGCATCCCTGATCGCCACCAGGGAGGAACAGCTCAATGATCTCAAAGACGAAGTGAATATGGAATTGAAGTTGGCAGCGTGGCTTTACTGCCGTTTTGAATTTGATTGTGAGCACCTTTACAAGTTCATCGAAAAGTTCTTCGAAGACGATTTTGGTGATATGGCCATCACCCGAGAAGTTTATTCTTTCTTGAGAAAAGCATTCGATGCATCGGACGTTGATGACTGGGTGTACTTCTTTGATATTGCTGAAGAGCAAGTGCCAGGTGATAATAGCAGCTCGTCTGATGCAGAGAACGATAGCGAGAGCAGTGAATCGGTGGCCAATGACCTCGATAATTCTTCCAAGCCCACGGTCGCCAAGCAGAGCAACCAGCGAACCCAGGCCAAGAAAACCAGCGGCAGTAAGGATTCTGAAAACGACGACGATGACACAGACGTTTCGCTTCCCAAGAAGCCCGAGCGAGCTGGCGAAGCCGAACCAATTCTGAGGGAAGCCATAACAGCCATCCAGAGGCTCATCGGGGAATGGGCACTGCGCAAAAGCGGCATTAGGTTTCTCTCAGCTGTGCAGCTTCTGCTAACAGGTGCTGGACTTCCGCAATGCAATGGTTGTTACTGCGGGTTGCAAGGTATCGAGGACACAAATGTCTCAGGATCGTGCGGCCATACTCTGTGCAAGGATTGCGCTTCAAAAACGTTGGAAAAAGAGGAGTGTATTGTGAATGGATGCCACAGCCCAATAAAGAAGTTCAATATCATCGCAGGATCCATGCTCGGAGAGGATAGCGTCGATGAGAGTGCAGAATACGGCGGCAGCAAGTTGGACAAACTGATTGAGATCCTCAACGAGATCCCCAACGACGAGCGGGCCCTCGTCTTCATACAATATCCCGAGCTCATCGAAGTCGCGTCCAAGGCACTGGATCTCGCCCAGATAAAGCACACAGCGATCTTAACGACAGACCGCAAGTCAATGCAAAAGATCGCGGAATTCCAAGAGGCAAGCCTCCAGGAAGACAAAGTGTTGATCCTGAATCTTGGAGGGGAGATGGCGGCCGGATTGTAAGTTACCCTCCCTCCCTCCCTCCCTGCCACCCCCCCTCTCCTAGGGTTGTTGTAGCTTGTGCCTAATGTAATTCCGCAGGAATTTTCAATCGGCAAATCACGTTATCTTTCTATCTCCTATGAACGCCGAGACACAGTATGATTATGAGTCCGCAATGACCCAAGCCATCGGACGGTCCCGGCGTTATGGGCAAAGGCGTCACGTTCACGTCTATCACCTACTGGCCAAGCACACGATAGACGTGAACATCTTTCAAGAACGCCGAGACAAGATATTGATAGAAAGGGACGGCAAGGCCGAGCTCGTGGCTCACGGAGAAGCCTTGGATGGCAAGGTGATCAAGTGTGAGGGGCCGCCCTTGGTTTTTAACGACGCGTTTGAGTGTTTGGAAAACCTCGTGCAGTGAGTTCAGTGAATGGTAGTGCGCGAATATTCTGGCTTTCCGCCTTGCAATTTGGATTAGCGAAGGGCGGTGTTCAGATTTGGTGTGTGCGTATTTGTCAGAGTTAACTTCATCGAGTCACTGTGATTAGGAAGATTGAATTTGTGCTTCCCAGATAGCAAGACGAACTCGTAGTTCACGGTCCACGTGAAGTAGCTCCCGATAGGAAAGTGCATGTCCAAGATATTCATGACCAAATCGGGCAGAAACACCACCAGCAAATCAGTCAGACGTTCTTTTCTTATCCAAATTAGTAGAGTCCAAGGGCTGCAGTAACTACCTCATACCCCAGCACCGCAGCCCAGAAACAGGATCAAGGGTATGGATACTGAAATCCCAATTAACAATGAAAAGAACTGCATTGGTTACTGCTAACGAGATCCTCTATGGTAGTTGACATCAATCCCACCATATCCGACTTTCCCCCTACGCAAAAGAGAGAAATCAGAAACAACGTACTGTACATAAGCGTTACCTGGTGGCCCGTCCAGTTTCACCAACCAGGGCAGAAAAGGAAAAAGGAAAGGGGGAACATGACAGGAATTGGAACCATCCAGCACACGGTATCGAAACTATATTGTCTGGCTCGAATTATGGGTTTATCTTCATTTATTGTGTTTGCTCGTCCAAAGCCCCGTCCTTTCTCATCATCGTAGCCGGGTCCCACACGGGCTCGATCAGGTTGGTCAATCCCGCGCTGTTCTCGCATGTGTCTCTGCCGCTCAGAGGACCCGGAGCGGGCACCTTGACCGTCTGGCCAGCCTCGGTGGCCGTGGCGGACTCCTTGAGAGCGGTGAGCAGCGACTTCATCGATTCGGGGGTAAGGTCCTCGTAGTAGTCGTCGTTGATCTGGACCATGGGAGCGTTGACGCAGGCACCCAGGCATTCGACCTCGACGAAGGTGAAGAGGCCGTCTTCGGTGGTGTGTCCGGGGGTGATACCCAGGTGTTCCGTGATCGCCTGGACGATCTTGTCGCTACCGCAACCACCGAGCTGGCAGGGTGTCTGCAATGGCTTGTCAGCGATGACGAAGACGAGGAAAGGTATGGCACGCGAGGTAGAGAGTCTCCAATTTCATACCGTCGTGCAAAGCTGAACAAAGTACTTGCCAACCGGCTCACGGTTGTACATGGTATAGAAGGTTGCGACTTCGTAGACACGCATGGGGGGCATCTCCAGGAGACGGGCGACCTCGTTCATGACGCTGATGCTGGTGTAGCCGTGCTGGCGCTGACCAACGTCCAGAACCGGCATGACAGCGGCCTTCTTGTACTGGGGGGGATAGCGCTTGAGGATCTCATCGATGAGCTTGAGGTTTTGCTCGGTGAACTTGAACGGAACATTCGGGTTGTTATCGCCTTTGTTGCGGTGCTGGAAAAAGTCAACTGGTTAGCAATGACGCCCTCGCAAACGATATGGCTTTTTGACGCGCCATTGGCAAGCGAGATAATATCCGACATGCCGCCAAATCCGAGTCATCCAGAAGAGTGCTTGGGACGTACCACGGCAAGGGAGTCGCTGAAGCGTTGCGGACCAGCCGAGAAGGGTCTGAATTGGGTCTTGGGGATCTGCTGGAAGAGCTGGCGGCCAGTCCGCGGGACGGCGGGAAAGAATTTGGAAGCCATTGCTGGCAGAGGAGAGGGGACTGAGGGTATGGGGAGGGGATTGGAGGACTTGATCTGATGGATTGAAGGTGAACGACCGACTTGGAGTCGAAGAGGCGTTTTGCGGGAGCTGCGGCTGACCAATCAGCGCCGACAGATTACTCCCGCCTTGTGCCAATGAACGACCCTCTCGACGGCCTTTTTGCAACATCACAGCTTCTTCAACACCATCAAAAAAATCATGATATAATTTATTCGGCTTTAATCTGGCTTGCAGATTTATTGGGACTAACAACAGGCACCCCCACAACTCAATCTCTCTACAACGCCTTCGTGACACCTAACCGACCGGGCCTATAACCCAGCAACGCATCCGACATCCCCAACAGCCCATTACACATTTTCCATCTTATACACCTCATACGCGACCTCCTCATACGGATGAGCCTTAATCAATGCCTCGACTGCCTGCAGCATAACCGACCGTCCCAGACACATCACCTCCACCTTCATCTCCTCGACCGTCTCGACTGTCCCAACTTCACCAATGGCAGGATTCGCACCCTCGGACGGCAGAAATTGGCCTTGACCGGGCATCTGGAAACAGCATTTTTGGTACTTGCCCCCAGGGAAAGTTCCCGCTCCGGTCGCGAAGACGGCTTCTTTACAGGCCTCGAGGTCGGAGTGCGGGACGAAGAAGACGAGTTTATAACGGTCGGGAATGGGAGCAGCAGACATGGTTCGTTTCTGGTAGGTTCGAAGACAGGAGATCTTCTCGATTGTGGGGATATTTGTGTTGGTGATGCTCGTAGACGTAGGTCGCGTAGAGGGTGCTTGTAGAGACACGGAGAGCGGAGATCTGGATGGTGATGACGATGACGATGATGAGAATGTCCGGGACAATCTGTACGAACGGAAGTTGCGGGAAACCCGTAAGGTTGGCGTGCGGGGGATGCAACAGGTCAGCGGGGAAATGGTTGGGGGCATCTTGCAGGGTAATAGTAAGGAGTAGTATACTCCTTGTGTCTATTGCTCATTGGAATCAATGTCTGGTGTTTGATGCGCCGCGGGCCACACTTGAATCTAATCTTAGTCATTGGCATGCGATCAGATAAACTATGACTCGGATACCACCAAATGAGCTACAATCCACACTACAATGTTTAATTAATAGTTGAGATCACGCTTTATTGAAATATGCATCTATCATCTACTCATTACACCAACACCATAACCCCCATCTATACCATCAAGTAACCAACCTAACCCAAATGCGCAAACTTTCCAACATGGTCCTCAATCCTCCTAACCAACTCCAACTTCCTCTCCTCCTCAATCCAACTCTCACTCACACTATTCACCGCAATAGTCTTCCACTCCAAAACACTCAACCCAAACGCCTCCTGCACCGCACAATAATTATCCAAAATATAACCTCCAAAGTACGCCGGATCATCACTATTAATCGAGAACTTGACCCCATTATCCAAGAACTTCCGAATGGGCACCTCCCCAACCTCCTTCACACACTTCAACTGCACATTCGACAACGGACAAACCGTCAAGAGAATGCCCTCCCTCGCCACTCTCTCCATGAGCACCTCATCCTCCACCAACCGAATCCCATGATCAATCCGACTGGCGCCCATCTCCAACGCCGTACTAATATACGTCGGATCGCCCTCCTCGCCCGCATGAGCCGTCAACCTGACCCCCCTCTCCCTAGCCGAGGCATAAATCTCCCTGAACATATCCTTGGGCGGGCCAACCTCAGATGACGAATACCCCAACCCATGCACAACCTCACTTTCAAAGTGTCCATTCTCCAGAATCTTCTGGTAGGTCTTCTCCGCGGAGTCAACCGGCAAATGCCTCACAAAGCAGAGAATCAACTTGGTCGAGAGACCCAGCTCTTTCTCGGCGCGCTCACACCCCGCCACGAACCCCCGCACGATGGTCTCGTACGGAATGCCGCGGTCCTGGTGGACCTGGGGATCGAAGAAGACTTCGGCGTGGTGGACGCCGTCGGCATGCGCTTTTTGGAAATAGGCCCAGGCGAGATCGGAGAAGTCGGACTCGTGGTGCAGCACGGACATGCCGATGAAGTAGAAGTGGAGGAAGTCGTCGAGCGAGGAGAAGTTGCCGTACCGGGCGGTAAGGGTGTCGATGGAAGTGTATTCGGGGGTTTGGGGCAGTTGGACGTTGTTTCTAGAGGCGAGTTCGAAGATTAGGTCGGGGGTGAGGCAGCCCTCGAGATGGACGTGGTGTTCGCATTTGGGCAGGCCCTGGAGGAAGGCGTGCCAGTGGGATTCTTGGGGGGTGTTGAATTGGCACATTTTTGTAGATGTCTCTTTTAAGTAGGGTGTAACAAGTATGTAGAAGATAGTATTCGTATATAGAAGAACAACCACAAAACCACAAAAAAAAAAACCGAGGGACACCCACGACCTTATAAAATAATCCTCACAACCATCCAAGAAATGACTTGAGTATCTATCCCAAAGTGGTACTCCGTCCGAGGCAAGCTAAAAAGTGGAGCGCAGATTGAGTCAAATGATAAAATCCCGCAGCCAAACAGCGATTGTTCCTGAGGCCCCACTCCTTGCCCGGTGGGTGGATTTCGTCAGGCCACGAGACAACGATAAGCTTCTTTTTCTTCTTTTTTCTCTTGCCTTACGTTTCTCTGCGCCGCACCTTTTCCGCCACGCTGAATCAGCACAGCAGGCACAGATAAGGCCTGATGCGGATTAGGTATAGTTTTAGTTAAAGTTTGGGACACAGATGAGTTGATTAGCTGTTTGTATGCTAAGAATTTTCGGAAATAATAAAAGAGATGAATAATATTATTCAATATCTAGACGTGGCTTTTGCAAGATAGTACTCTTCGACTACCGTATATGACTCCTCTCCACAAATCTATTTCTTCAGATACTTAGGGATCTCTCGTCCACTGGGAGGATTCTTGATAAATTCATTCAGTTCAGTGCTGAACGTGCTCTCCCACTCCTCGGCATCGGATGGCGCCCATCCCAAATTGCGAGCGAGGACAGCCTTCGTACGAGAGCTGTTTGAGAGAATAAGTGTCAGCAATCACAGCGAGTACGTAAGAAGAAGATGAGTAAAGACATACTTTGACGCAAAGCCAAGTTCAGCACTAGATGTGTTGCCAAAAACCCATTTCTCGCCTGCTTCCTGGATAGTGATCTTCGCCACCTCACTAGAAGGGAAAACGCCCAACTTATGGCCGGCCTTAGCCAGGTATTCCGAGAACTCCAGATGCGAGTGCTCTCCAGTCTCACAGAAATAGATTCCCTTTCGACCAGAGGGGATCTTGATGCCTCGGAAAATGTGCTGAAGTAAGACCAGGTGTAGGGCTGCCAGATCCTCGATATGCACGTGGTTCCAAACAGTATCCCCCTCAGAAACAACACTGCAGCTGCCTGTACGAAGTGCATCCGCGATCATGGTTGGAAGCTGCATGGGAAAGCGGTTGAATGGCCCACTTCCAAGACCAAAGATCGTTTGGTGCCATTACAATGTAAGTAGTCACACCAGAGGCCTCGCTCTCTTCAATCACGGCAATGTCGGTAGTTCGCTGGAAGTATGTTTCACGGGATTCGCGATATTTCTCATATGAGTAAATATCCTCGTCATCAGAGAAGACATGGGTATCAATATACCCCTCTGTATACGGACGATCGCTCAAGTTTGAGGTTCCGGAGATCTGGATATAGTGGACATCGGCGTTCGTAGTTTCGCGCCGCACACCTTGTCCCCTAATCAGGGCTTGCGCAGACGGAGTGTGCCAGCCAGCACCAGCATGAATAATAACTGGGATCATGTCAGCAGAACTCTGTATGACAAAAAGAGGTTGTCATTCACATACTGTCGAAGCCTTTACCAACCTCTTCCAGTCTATCCAGCTCGTCGAAGCTTGAGAATAGTTCTGGAGATACACCCAACTCCCTGACTTTTGTAGCCTGTGATTCAGATCGAACCAAGGCCGATATTTTCAGATTAGCAGCCCACGTTTCTTTGGTCCTAAGGATGGCAGACAAAACTGAGCCTCCACTGTAAGTAAAATCAGTTAGCAGTTTTCGTTTTTGGTCCGGTGATTTTCAAGATTTGAGGGTCTTACATATAGCCGGAAACCCCGGTTATGAGAAGAGTCCGCGATTCCATAGTTTGGAAATGATTTAGGGAGGTATCGGAAGAAGAGGATTTCAGTGAAATGAGTTAGTTATGGAATTATTCTGGAAGAAGGATGAGGACCTAAATCTCAGTGTTCTTATATAGACAAATATTCACATTATGGCATCTAAGTCCCAAAGTCATCAAGTAGTATTTCTAATAATTCATAATTGATGACATTTATTCGAGTTCAGTAACATCATGGCTCTTGTTCCCTATGTTGCTTGCTACATCCGAACATAGTAGGATCCATACAATTCTCTCGGATACGGATGAACAACTTCCACCTTGAAGTCATCAATGTTCGGGAGTATGGAGGTTCAGAATCCGATTCCGTTTGCTACCTAGACAGCAAGGCATGACCCCTTATGGAAGTGGCAAGTCAAGAGAGCGAACTTCCGCCATGAGGACTGGCGAGTCAAGACTCTCGACATGGCAACGACCCACTATCTAGTAACTATATAACAGTACAGACTTTGGGGTGACCCACTATCGAGTCAGAAGTTTCGACGTCGCGTTAGACTAGCCAGTTCCGGCCCAGATCCAAGAACTGAGGGCTACTCCGGAAGCTTCCGGCCATATACCTAATGCTTCAGCTGGACCTACGTAGTATGTGAACTATATCATGATGAATAGACAATAGTGCAACGAAATGTGGATATCTCAAAGTATGTATAGGTATATCTTATGCATTTGTGCTCTCTTCGCCGATCATCATATACTACTATGTCATCAAGATCCATAAACCAAACTTGATACTACATCTTATGGCATAAATAGCCACATCAAACCCCCCTGTAAGTCCCTAGAACATCACGCTCTGTAGCAACTCTTCAAAATGTTGTCTAAGCTAGCTTATCTTACTCTCCCTTTCTGTCTCAGCGCAGCAGCGCTGAGCACCCAGAAATGCCCACCTGTCAAGGGCATCCAAACCTACCAAACCACGCCCCAAGATGGCCAAGCAGACGGCCAATTCACCTCGTGCGACAACTTCTTCGACAGTCCCAAGATCCAGGGCATCAATGCTTCCTCCTACGACTGGTGGTACTTTGACGCCATTGGTACCGACGGTGTGTCTTCTCTTGCCGTCGTCTTCTTCGTTGAGGCGAATCGGTCTGGCTTCACCGTCACCGAAAACTTCACCAACATGGACTTCATCCAAATCTCCGGCACCTTCCCCAACGGTACTGTTTTCAGTGACTTCCTCTTCGCCGACAATGCAATCGTTTCCACCAACGGCGATGGATCCAGCGGTCTTTGGAACAACACCGGTATCTCGTGGGCTGGTAGCCCCGATCTTCAGTACTACGTCCTGACCCTTGATGCCGAGGACTTGGGATACAAGGGATCCTTCTCTATGCACTCGGTCAGTATGAAACATGATCTGCTACGAATTCAAGGAATTACTAAGAGATCGACTCCCACAGATCGCTCCGCCCCATTACCCTTGCAGCCCCAAACGAGGCAACGTCTCCCTGGAGGTGCTACCCGGCGTCGGCTGGGCCAATGCTGTCCCTGATGCCGAAACCACAGTAAATGTGACCATCTTCGGGTCCGAATTGAGCTTCGTGGGAACGGGATACCACGACAAGGTGCGCCAACCCCCATCCCTCCCCCTCCCCCTCCCCCCTTCAACCGAAACAAAAACAAGGAAATAACAAATACCTAACAACTGACTCCAGAACTGGGGCGTCACCGGCTTCATGGATAACGTCGGCAGTTGGTACTGGGGCCACGCGCGCATGGGCCCCTACTCGCTCGTCTGGCTTGACGCGCTCGACCCGGCTTATAATGAATATGCCAGTGGCTACGTCGCCTATCAGGGCCAAATTCTGGTTGCAGAGTGTGATAACATGAAGGTTCGCCCCATTGGTGAGAATGCTACTTTCCCCCCTACTTCTGAGTCGCTTCTCCCCGACGGGTTCAAGATCACGGTCGATGTGCCTGAATTGGGGCTTTTGGAGGCGCAGCTCACCCCCAACTTGGCTACTTTGACCAAGCCTGGCTATGGTCGCTGGATCGGTTCCGTTAATGGTTCGGTTAATGGTGTTACCTATGATACGGGTGTTTCTGGGTTTGAGATGTTTGATTTCTTTTAGAGGATGGATGCAGGATGGGATGTAAGATGCGTTGGGGGGAGCTATGACTATAGAGTTGTCGCAGGAGGTGATAGAGGGAAGGAGAGGATAAATTGAGAATTTGTACAATACGATGTATCTTGGTGGGAAATGAAGGTTGTAGACTAAATCCTGTATTTATATAGCTTATCTCGTTTGAAGTGAGCTGCTCAGTACTTCCGAGATTCTGCTGTCTTTCTATATTGATCAATACAATGGGAATCATCGATAGATTGGAGCAATTGAATTGTACTATAATTCAAGACCCATATATATTTGAAAAGAAAAAAGAAAAAAATAATAATAATAATAATAATAATAATAATAATAATAATAATAATACAACTCTATATTCAATGCGCCAAAATAAAGCCTAAATCTAGCCAAATAATCCTAATCCCAAAGCAGCTAGCCGGGCCTAGGCCTAGTGAGAAAATTAGCATAGACCCGGTGACCTGTGGAGGCCGCGGCGCACTGTTAATTCGCAACTAAGGCCCGGAATCACGCCGAGTCGGAGACGGCCGATGCAGGCAGCCGGAGAACGGAGATTTGCACACACACACAAACCCCCTTCTAGTATGTTCGTATTTGGATAGTAGTTAGTCTATCTGATAAGATGGGTAAGAAGATAGACTACTCACATATTTGATAGATAAGGCTTTCTAGAAGATCGGTTTCCTGCGGATCAGCTGTTCAGCCCTAAACTTTATGTTGATATCTACTACTGGGTATTATCGATATGCATGCACATCAACTTAATCCGTCTGAACGCTCAAACTGATATTAAAACTTGTGCTAGTAATATTCTAACTGCGATATCCATGCTAAATTCGTAAACAGTCCCGTGAATTTATAGCTGCTTCTAGCCGACACAGCCAAATCCTCCAATATAGCAAGTACTATGTATGTATGTGGCCCATAATGCGATCTATGATAATCCTCCGAGGGTAAGAAGTTGTAAGTTATTATACCCGGAGTTCCGCTCCGGCGGCTTTACGCAACCGGTTCATGACAGCAGCTGCCAGATCACCCTGATGATCGGGCACACCCTCGACGTATATGACGTCCACTTCCATTTCATCCATGGCCCGTAGTGCCGAGAACAAGCCCTGCGCGATCGACTTGACGTCTGTGCCGAGGTGGCAGTCGAAGGTCTCCTTGGTTGCGGTGTGTCCGTTGACTTGGTCGCTCACCGGGACGGAGAATCCTACTAGCTCGTCCACGAGCGAGGGGATACGCTTCAGGCTCTTTTGCATCTCGTCGGCAGACAGCAACCCCAGTCCCCGCTTCCAGTGTTGCGTGCGGACCACTCCGATCATGTGTGCCCCGACTGCTGAATCTTCCAGGTCCTTGCGAATGTGTTTTGCGACGGCTTCCTCGTCGGAGCCGGCTTCGAACAGTACCACGCGCGCCTTGGGCGAGTAGTGTCGGTACTTCATGCCCGGTGCTCGCGGGGCCTCCTTCGCATCTAGTGTGCCGTCATGGTATCCGACCTGTACATTCTCCCACCCAGCGCACGTACGCAGCTCCTCGATACCTATCCCGCCTGGTCGAAGAATAGCCGGCGGGTCGGATAGTCCATCGACGACCGTACTCTCCACGCCTACGCCGCAGGGACCACCGTCAAGGATCAGCTCGATGCGACCTTCGAGGTCATGGAATACATGTTCCGCCGCCGTCGGGGAGGGCTTCGTGGATGCGTTGGCCGAGGGAGCCGCCAGTGGTCGATCCGTTACATGGATCAACAAGCGTGCAAGCGGGGATGAGGGCATGCGCACGCCAAAGGTCGTAAGCTTGGAGGTAACTTCAGGAGCAAGAGGGGAGCCGGAGGGATTAGGGAGAAGGATTGTGAGAGGACCAGGCCAGAAGCGGGAAATGACCGAGTCGTAGATGGGTGGGATAGCGTTCTTCGCAGTGGTGGTCCTGCGCGATGGACTTTCCTGTGTGGGGTTGAGTAACCGCTCCAACATCCCCAGCGAATCAACATGTATAATCAAAGGGTTATCTGACGGCCTCTGCTTCGCCTTGTAGATTCCTTGTACTGCATCGCTTCGCGTCGCATCTGCACCCAATCCGTACACTGTCTCTGTGGGGAAAGCAACGGGGATATCGCTGGTTCGGAGAAGTTGCGCGGCGTTCTCGATGGCGGCCGCTTCCGGGGTATGGTTATCGCGTTCGTTGGCCCACCACTCTGCGAGGGATCGGTCTCCGGGGCCTTCGTTGTTGAGACGGCGAACCGATGCGATTCGGGTGGAAGCTTTGGGCGACATGATTGCTGTTGCTGGGGCGGTGGAAGCGAATCTAACGAAGCTGCGCGGGAGACCGCGAGCAGTAAGCCGAGAGAGGAGTAGAACCAGATTGGCAGGCGATATTCGTTCCCCGAACAGAGCAGAGGAACGAGCGATCGTGGGGTGAGTCACGGCTTGTAGATTAAGGCGATACAAATTTCTCGGTAGTGGGGGGAAAGAGGAGAACGGGTATCGCGCGTTTCGAGGCTATTCGGTCATAGGCAAATCCTGATTCGGGGACCTCCTGTCAGGCTGCTCCACCAGGTGTGTACGGCCCGAGCGATTGCTGCCAGACGAATGAGCAATTGGCGACTAGGATGTATGTTGGGTTGCTGAACTCTGTATGTCACAGAAAAAAGTGCAGATCGAATGGAAAATCTTCGCGATGACGTCGGTGGGCGTGACTAAGCAGCGCAGTCCAGATTCGGCCATTTCTCTATTTTCCATCAATGCTTTAATTGTACGTCGAGAACGAACTGGAAGAGATAGACAATATGTCTAAAGGTGCCTCGTTTGCAGAGTGTCCACTATATGCATATGCTGTGATCGCCTATAGCGTCACAGTTAACCAACTAATACAGTCGTACTCTGGTGTTTTCCTCCAAAGTACTTTGTAGATCATCCACCATGTAGATCATGAGAAACCCAATCCTTATGTCCAGCCTCTATTTCTTCTTCCCTCCCTTTCCTCCCTTGTTTCCACCACCGCCACCTTTTCCTTTGCCCTTATCTCCTCCGCTAGGTGCTGGCCCAGCCATAATGCGCACCTTACCGACAGGAACGCTATTGATGACCTCTGTGTCCTTCCACATTTTGATCAGATCTCCTTCCTTGGCGCGGAGCTTCTCAGCGGTAGCGCGGTCGATTCCAGCATCTTCAGCGTGTTCCTTCTTGACCTTGCCTGTTGTAGTTTCGGCAACCCAGCGTCCGATGATCTCCTTGACAGCCTTGCCCTTCTTCACGGTACCCGGCTGCAACTTGATGCGATACTTATACCGACCCAGGGCAGCCCAAGGAGCGCAGACAGGAATAGCAGCCAGGATATCATCTTCCGGATGGGGAGTTCCAACCAATGCAGGAATCCACTCCATGTCTGCTGCTTCGGCTGCGGCAGTTTCTTCGTCGTAGTCATCGGCACCACCCTCAAAGAGAGCCTGTCGTTTCCGCTCCGCTTCCGCGGCGCGTTCATGCTGTGCTCTGCGTCGTTTCTTCGCTTCCTCTGCTTCTTTCTGACGCTTAGCCTTTGCTTCAGCTTCTGCAGCTGCCTTTTCAGCTTTGGCACTCTTGGCACCTAGCAAGCGTAGAGCCAGTTCCCGATCCTCCTCGTCCTGATCAGCGTACTTGGCTGCGGCCTTCTTTGCTTTGCCCCTCTTACCCCGAGTTGCAGCTTGCTTGCTGTTAGCAGATTTGACAGATGCCCCGTCCGCTGCAGCTCCATCCAGTTCCGATGCTCTTCCTTTTCTAGCCATTCGTCTTTCTCTAGCTGAGAGCTGTCGATCATCTTGGGTCTGTGGCGATGTCGCACTCTCGTCCTCGTCCTCCCCCTCAGCTGGCTCTTCTTGAGCGCTTTGCTCGTCTCCATTGTTGCCGTTCGGTTCTTCGGCTTCGTCTTTGTTTTCCTCGTCAGCTGCCTCATCAGCCTGGGCGTTCTGGGATTCGTTCGCCGCAACCGATTCTGTCTGGGTAGGCTCTGACGACCCGCGTTGCAACGGGTTTCTAGCTGGGACCGCAGCATCGTCCTCTTGTTCCCCTTCGGACTCGCTGCTCTGCTCCTGCTCCTTCTCCGCTTCAGTAGGTTCATCAGGCTTAGTAATCTGCGCCTCTTGCTCGACGGGCTTGCCCTCAGCTTCCTTGTCGGTTTCCTGGGCTTCCACAGGCGTTTCCGTAGCCACGGGTTCGTCGAAACGGTGCAGCTTATGGTTCCGGAGACTTTCCTTGCTCACTTGAAACATGACACCAAATCCTAGGACGAGCTGTGAGGGGGCCAGGAAGTTCTTCTCACCCTTGATGAGGAACTCGCCGGTGGGAAGGAGGCCTCCCGCGTCAGCAGTCTTGCTAACTTGACTCGCGGTAACCCAGTATGCTGACATGATTGCCTTGGAATCCCAGGCGCTGGACGTAGCCACGCAAAGGTTACCGGCTTGCGAAAGGGTGCTGGGGGGAATGGGTGCGTTGGGCGAATTGGATCGGTTCTTGACGATCATCGGCGTAGCACCTTGTAAATCGGCGTGCACAAATACATCGCCCTTCTTAAGGTACCGGCGGTAGAGAATTTCGCTTTGCATCGCATCGCGGCCACTGTTCAAGTTAGATCAGACCAAGCTCTGCAGACACGGTCAAAAATACATACCCCAAGACCAAGTATCCTTCCGACGAGATGAAGAAGAGGAACTTCTCAAACCAGAAAGGCTTTCTGGCAGGCCGAAGAACCTGCTTCTCCTGCTTCAGACCCTTCTTCAAGTCCTGCGTCACCTTCTTCTCGTGGCTTTTGAGCGCCTTGGTCGACGATTGCGTCGTCTTCTGCTCCTTGACGGCAGCCATCTTCTTCTGTTCATAATACTGCGTTGCATTCGCCCAGGGAGACAGGCCGAGATCAATGTCAATTGTCAGCATGTTGTTTGACTGTTTTTGGGCCTTGGCAGCCTCTTCCTGCTCATCCTCCGACTCAGACTCATCGTCCGAGAACAGGTCCTCGCCTTCGTCCTGCTCTTCACCCGACTCTCCAAGCATCAAGGTAATTGTGTTCTCGTAGAGCTTCAATGGCAGCTTGATGATATTGGCCACTGGGTTCCCTCTGCCTTGCTCCATCTCAATGAGACGGGCAATTTCAACCCAGTCCATACCTTGAGCAATCAGGCCATTGACCGCATCCATTGCTTCTTGAACCCGGTAGACATTATCTTCGATTGCTCCCGCCTTGCGAATATGCAGTTCCTGAACCTCCTTGAGAGCGCCGATGCGCTTAGCATGTTCCTGTCGGACAGCCTCAAGCTTCCTCTTTGCAGTCTCTTCCCGCTCCGTAAGCCGCGACTCCAACTTTTGCGTTTCAATCGACGAGAAGTACTCGTCAACCGTCGCGTTGAAAGACGGGTACTCCAGGATAGTAATACCCGGCTTGCCCTCAAACTGCTTAGGCTTGAACGGGTGGAAATCTTCATACAGATACCCGGGTTTCCGAGCAGCCTCTTCCTCACCCTGAGCTGGCGAGTCCGCAGACGGACGAGTATCCTCCTTCGCAACGATATAACCCGGATGACTCTTCTCCGTAGCCAACTTGTCCGTCTCGACCTTGGCCTCCTCCAACACATCCACAACCTTCGTCAGAAGCGCTTCATCCTGCAGAACCTCATCGAGCGGGGTAGCGGGGTCCAGCTCCTTCACGGCAAACGCATGATCCAGCAACAGGGGCGGATACTCCGGGAAACCCTGGGACAGAGCTTTGCGAAGCACATCCGCATTCTTCTTCTTGGACTTCTTCGGCGCACTGCCCTCCTGTGAAAACAGGGCCTTGGCCTTCTCCACCGTCTCCTTGACTCTCTCCCTTGTGATATCCGGAACACCGTGATAATTCTGCTTATTGGTCACCGTATACTTGACTCCGACGCGAGTCTCATCCTGTCCCTCACCAGCTGGAACCTGCCGGAATAGCGCAAGGATATTGTACTCGCGATCGGTGATGATGATGTTCCCGCCGGCAAAGAACTCCAGGAACATGTGGTACATGCCATCGCTGAAAGAGAAGTCGATGATTCGATCCGTGCCGATCTGTTCGATGGAGGTGATCCGGCGCGATTTGAGGAACTTGCGCATGCGCGTCACGAAGGGGGTGGGCGCTGAAGCAGTTGCTCGGGAGTATTGGGTGACATGACAGCGGAAGCCGGAGTCGACGACGAGTTGTTTGCGGTGGTCGGGTTTGGCGACTTTGAAGAGGAAGATGCGCTGGATGGATTATGAGTGAGCTTGCTTGGAGGTAACCCTCATATTCAGAAGGGGCTAACATACCGAGGAGAGATCGTAGATGTTCGAAACTCGCAGATTGACTATCTCCGATGCAAGTTCCTGGGAGATGACCTGGCAGTGGTTGTGTGAGTTTCGCGCGCGGCAGTTGCGAGTGGTGGGGTGTTGCTCGGGTTTCTCACCTTGACATCCAAGGACGAGAATCTCTGCTTCATCTTCTGGTGGCCTATTTCCTGTTTCCCCGAGGAGCGAGGCTGTTGCGCTGGGTCGATGCGGTGGTTCAAGAGTTTTGCAGAGTGACTCCGAACTTGCGGGCGTGACGTATGCGGGGCGCTTTTTCGCCTATGGATGGCATTGCTTTCCATGACTGTCCATTGCTTTCACCTTATCGGCTACTAGTTATCTACTACAATTATGTCCACTTGAAATGCAAGTTGTATTGCAGTATGGGCCTGCATGCAAACGAAGCATATTATACTATACTTAAGTATCAATTACTCATTGCTGTAAATTGGTTGACTCCCGTCCGTTATATATAAATATAGTACGAAGCCTCTAGACGATCTCTCACCATCCCAGCTAAGATGCACAATGTTTCGCAGCAAAACATCAAGGAGTATCTCTATAGGTACCTCAAGCCTCTGCAACAAAGAAATGCGCGGGCAAATAGTAGTAGTAAGAATGTTAAGAATGGACATGATTTCCACAATGAGCAAGCAATGCGCACAAATACCACGCCAGGACCAGCCAGATTAGATAACAGAAAGACATGACATGAAGAGAATAAAGATGAAAGCACATCAGGATGCATCAAATAGAGAATTGCAGAATCATCAACGTCAAATTACATCTGCCGCAACCCCTCCGCCAGACGCCGCTTTCCAAGCTCCCAGGCATTCATCAGACCTTGTTCGGACAGGTCGATGCTCTTCAAGTTCGGTGCATCCGGAGCAGGAGCGCGGCTGACGCGGGAGGCGATCAGCACTGGATCGGTTTCCAGAATGATTCCATCGTCGATAATCTCATCGATGGCCAGGGCGACCAGGTCGTAGTTCTCGACGATTGTGCGCTTGTCGGTTGCGCCCCTGAGGAACAAAGCAAGTTAGCCCAATTGATCCATCCCTGTCTCACTTGGATATTAGAGGCCATGCATACTTGAACAGAATTCCCAAAGCATCTCTTAGCGACAGAACCACGTTGTACAAGAGCACTTCGTTCTCGTCGGCACTTCCGACCACATAGAGCATCACATCGCTCTCCATCTTGAAGACGACTATCCGGTTGTCGTAGAGAATCACATCGCTGGTCTGCTTGTTGGTCTTTTCGAGGAGGCCTTGTTCGAATGCCTTCTGCTCTTTCACGGTAGGGTAGGGGTTCGCTCCGGGGTAATCGGTCGAGTTGGGGGCAGCACCGGCCGGGGGGTGAGGAGGGGAGTAGTACTTGGCGAAGATGCGAGAGCCATCGTCGGCCGACATGAGAAGGACGGCATTGACGGAGAAAAGCGAAAGAGAGCCGGGCATGGTGGGCAATGGTTCAGGAATATCGGTTTGGTTAACGTGGTGACAGCTCCGGGGGGGCTACAATGGGACTCCAACTATTTACCGTCAAGCTGGCCGCAATCCGGGCGCCGCTCGAACTTTGTTCCGGGGTATACAGGAAGGACATCAACCACGTCTTTTGATTTACCTCTCAATTAAATTAGGTGAGATAGTCGGACAATTACACTTATGTTAATCTAGCATCGCATTTTTGGTACTCATACAGCTAGGTACTATGTTGGTTATAGATTCATATTTACTTACTGGCTCTATAATACAAAGGTCTAGACAACATCATTAAACAACAAAAAAGACAAGACAATTTCACTCGGGGTTCGAGGTATATAGACCATAGGTATGTTCATCATATAAGGAGGGGCATAAACAAGCAAAGCAGATTCGTCGCGTCCAAGAGTAGTCTGTGGAGGGGGTAAAAAAAGAGTGTCCAAGCAGTACCCATGTCAGGCATCATCACAACGTTTCAATGTGGTCGTCTATCACATTTCCAAATTTCAATCAAAGCAAATAAATGGACGCGAAAAAAGTGCCAGATGCTCGAAGGGGGGCAACCTGGGCCATAATGGGCTCAACACCAGTATGATGATCAACACCGAAGAAGAATGGTAAGAGTTTCACCGTAGTGGTCAACAACCCGCCATCAAGGGCTTAGAAGATCATGCAGATTAACCGTGAATAACACAAAGCACAGAATATGTCCCTATTTGCAGGGGGCGGGTTTACCCCACATTTTCCACGAGACTGACACGCTCAGGTTGAAGGTTGGGTGGCCTCGCTAGGGTTGGGACGGTTGAACCAGGGGATCCAACTGCCCCGATTAGCCTTCTTGCGGGCAGCTTCTTCTTCCTCGGCCAGCTTAGTCTCGCTGACTAGGCGCAGGGGACGCAGTTTGTTCTGAGTCATGACAGCCCCAGTGTAGTTGGTCATGCCGGTGCTAGAGCGGGGAGAGCTGGAGGTTGCACCAGTGGATGCCGTATCACCAGCGGGGTCGCTCGTGACACTATCCGAACTGCTCAACCGGCTGTGCTCAGGCTGACTGGAGAGTGAAGGCGCACGGCCACCGGTACTCATACTCGACATGATACTCGCGCTAGAGAATGCGCTTTGACGATTTCCAGGTCCCATGAGAGTAGGGCTGATCGGACCACCCGAGTTGCGTCCCCGATACATCTGACCCACGACGGATGCTGCTCCAACGTCCGTTTGTTCCGACCTTGTGCGGCGGTGACCGCGAATTGACCCAGCACGAAGGGGAATGCTAGGTGCGGTCTGCGGGTTCTCGTGGGCGGTGGGCACACTGGTGGGTGGAGGCATATAGCTCGTGGGACGTGACCGCGGCTGAGTCGAAGGCCTAGGAGGGTTCGGGTTCGGGCCTGCAACGACCGACTTAGCGCGCTGGAGGAAGGTCTGCTGCGCATCATCCTTCTCAGGGGGTGTTGGCGGAAGCTCCTTGTTGCTGTGCGCAGGCATCGGCTTAGAAGGGGGGTCGTTTTCATTCTTGTCAAGGATGGTCTCGAAACCATCATGCTGCAGGAGGCGGCTGATAATCCGCTCGATATAGAGGGTAAGGGCCTTGTTCTGGTCCTTCAACGCCTTGATCTCCGTCTCCAGCTTGCGGGTGTTGTCTGTCTCTGCTCGAGCATCGACGGATTCTAGCTCGTCAGCCAACGAACCCAAGCCACTGCCAGGCTCCTTGACGTCCTCGGCAGTGTCCGGGTGAACTTCCCGCATGAAGTCACCCTTTGTGAAATCACCATTGAGGGTTCTCTCACTAAGGAGTAATTGATAGCTCTCATTATCCTCCATCAAGCGGGCATTGGCCATGCGAGCTTCCAGAAGCTCTTTCTCCAGCTCCCGCTGTCTGCCACCGCCCTTGTTCTCCATCTCGACAAGCTTGATCTGGGACTCAGCCAGCTCAAGCCGGAGAGACTCAATCAACTTATCCTTCTGCAAAAGCAGCTTCGAGTTATTGCGGGAAGGGCTTCTCTCGATCTGGGAGGAGGGCGCGAATTGACCATCGACATCCGGTGATGCCCGGTTACGGAAACTGGCTATAAGGGGCATGTTAGCAGGTTTCACACTAGACGAGGACAAAGGAGAAGAAGAAATGATCTTCTTACATGAGCGAGACACACTTTTATCTGAATCGGCAGCATTTGCCCGCTCCTTCTGGGCCAGCGACTCCTTCAGACGTTGGATGGTAGCCTGCATCTCTTCTTCACGACTCGCCTGCTGTTCCTTCTCCTGCAGCATAGCATTCCGCTCCAGTTCGTGTGCCTGTTCGAGGTCGCGAATCTGGCGAACATGGTCACGGATCTCGCCATTCAGGGCCTCAATCTTGCTATCCCTCTCATGGCTCTGGTCCTCCAACTTGCCTTGCTCGCTCACCGCCTCATCGAGGCGCATCTGGAGGACACCCAACTGCTTGCGATACTGCTCCGAGGCGGTCTCCGCCTTTTGCAACTGCTCCTTGAGGTCATCAATGAGAGCAGCGGTCTGGGCCCGGGCTTCTTCGTCGGATTGATTGGGCGTAACTTTGGGGGCACTGGATGTGCTCAGGTTGGAGCGACCGGGTTTCCGAGCCGCAGCCCGCGCAGAGACCGGAGTCGAAGCACGGAGAGACGGGGAACGAGTGACGCCATTTGTCGAAGCACTGGGGGAGCGGGTGTGCGTTCGCGATGCAGTGCCGCTGGCTGTGTGACTTTCTGCAGTCGAGTTTCTGTTGGAATTGCCCGGGGTACTGGGCTTGCGAGGCGTCGCCGACATGATTACCGACAATGGGGTTCACACCAGAAACGTAGAATGATTCCAGAAGACGCAAAGCGGCCCAGAAAGGGGAAGGAGAAGAAAGGCCTCTGGGGCTTTAAAACTGGTATGAAACAGCCGGGAAATTAAGTCGATAAATTTAAGGGACAGCGGCCGAGAGGTTGTAGCGGTCAAAACACAGTGGGCACACTAGGTGACCTACTATCTCGGTGGGGGATGGCTCAGAATGGCTGGCCACGGCTAGCCTCTTTCCAGAACCACCAAGTAAGGATATTGGGGGGGAGGGTAGTAGTATTTAAGTAGAGGACTGGGGGGAATTTGAAGGATAAGATCGCAAGTTAGGGATGACTCCGACAAACATGCGAAAGAAAGAAAAAAGCTTGAAGGGGTGGGAAAGAAAAAGGAATAATAATGGGAACAGGTGGGCGCATTAATTGTTCGATTGGGTTGATGGGCACGATACAATGTCCACGGGAGTATGTATGGGAACGGCCGTATTTGGTAGTCTAAGGCAAGTCTAAGGCCCCAACTTACCGTACGTTACCAGTTGGGCCCTTGTTGGCCTGGGGATCTCTCCGTCCTGGGTAACTTATTATGTCGCATTGAGGTATCGATGATTACCGACGTTACATAACCCTTCTCCCCTATTTCATCACCGATTTGAATGACTAACACCGGACTATGTGTGCTCTGTAGTTATAACTCTGTCACTCAACTCATGACTTATTCATTTCTCATTACTTCCCCCGTCACATCCATTCCCATCTGTCATCGTGGCTCGCCTGGAAAGTGGCAATGCCAACTCCAACTCCGGCGACAAGGCAGCACCAATACCGAACAATCCAACTGGGGCCCCTCACCTGGTCGACAACACGGAGCCAACACATGGCAACGTTTAAAGATAGTAATTTCTCACCAACCCTCCCTTGGGGTTCCTTGCGGCACACAGGGTCCAGCCATCTGTCAGTCTTAAGCTGAGTCGACCATCGTAATCCATCGTCGCAACCACCCTTACCATCCAATCACCTATTTCCGCCCTCAGGGAAGGGGGGCCGGACAAAACTTACTGTACATCCTGCGCCACGTCCGTAGTGACGGTTCCGGCCATGCATTGAGATCAGCAGGGCTGTCTCCGGGCCACTTATGTAAGGCTCTTCACTCTGCATGTATCAAGTACAGTTACCTGGACTACAAGATGCAGCTGTGGAGGTTTGTTTGATGTTGAATTATAAGGGTGTGGTTGTTACCCTTGTATTCCCATCGATGTGGCCTAGGCATAGTATAGCATAAGGGTTTCCTATAAGGATACCCAATAGATACTTATCTAAGAGACGGTCTTGTGACAGTAGACAAAGTAAAATTAAAGTAATTATCTAATTTGCGATGCCCACCGCGTTGACTTGCTTGTCAATTTTCCTTTCAAGGAATCTGCTCCGTGACGTGACAGGCCTAGTACTATGCTTCTGCTGGCTAGTATATATAAGAGGGTACTCCAAATACCATGCTATTCCACAACCCCTGAGAACTCCAACCCTACTTACTTTGTATTAACTACGTATATTGCCTGACCGACCATGTCACCGATGGACCTATAAATTGGAGAATAATACTAACGTTCATAAAGCGCAAGTCTCTACATGCCACGTTAATATGGATTCTCACGTATAGCACGGCTGGACCCCTATGTCTGGCTCCACACCGATCAACAAATAGGCAATACAAACGAAACAACCATCGTGGTATGAATTGGCTCGGGCTATGTAGCTTCAAGTGATAGGAAGAGATTGAATAATGCATCGGAGTATATATCTGCCTCGCAAAGTAACTTTCTCATTAGCATGCTCATCCTCATACTGGGACTTACTATGTATCTGATGAAACAACACTGATAGCCAAATCATCAGGAAAAAACTAGGCCTAGAGCGCTAGAGCTAGCATCACTTCCGACTCAAGAATGAATGAGCACAATCAACTGCTGCCAATGGTAACTCCTCCCCGGTTCCAAGCTACCGTTGAAAACCTGAGCAGTATAATGCATGGCGGGATGTATTTCCGTCTACTAAGCTTCTCTAGAGAATACTCACTCTATCTCGGTGTACACTAACAGTTAGCCAAATAAAGAAATTAGCTATCCGTCGTGCGGTACAGAGACTACGAATATTGGTTTCTAGGAACAACAGATATAGGGTCTTAGATCCCCACCACATGGGAATTGGCTCCTTACTGACGTCCGGGGCTGCAGTCCGGGCAATGGATTCAGATCAATCTTATAAATGACATAGTCAGGGCTTGATAAAATATGAAAGTGAAGATCAGTTCTGCACTATTCCAGTGAGAGAAAGAAGTGAGGGATAGTGGAAACAGTTAGTCTTAATGTAGGAAGTACTAGAATATATCCGGATCCACGATAGACCATATAAACATATTCCGAATCCAGATACATCACAAGAACTAGACCACCAGGAACCATTTAGGGATCATCAGGTATATGCATCTCTCACGGCGACCTCTGCTATCGACATTCACTAGCAGGCAAACTCTACATGGTAGCTCGGCTTCTTCTTCAATCGAACTGCATACTTTCGGTTACCATTTATTGATTAAGAGACGCTAGAATCAACTATATTCAGGTATCGCTCTGAAGGATCAATTCCGAAGACAGAAAAACAACTAGAACGATGATGTATCAATGTCCTGCCTCCTTCACGTGCACATGCAGAGAAGGAGGAACCGGGGCAGCCATCAGGCCGCCAGGCAGCGACCCTCCCCGCCCATTACTGTACGGGTTCAAATATGATCACGTGAAACACAACCTTGGAAGCGGGAAGATGAGTCAGCCGCGGCGGAACGGAGGAATTGTCACCCGACATTTGTCAAACCCACAAAAAAAGAGTGGGTGATAGGTTTTCTTTTACCATCCCAATCTCAAAAGACGAGGCCGGAGCGCACTTCTCTCAACAACCACATTAAACCTTTAGGTATGTGGTATTTCCCCGCAAGCCACGGCTGATTGCCCGTTGTTTTTGATCATGGTCAAAATTTTTTTTGTCATGCCCAAAAAGCGGTAGCATTCAGTAGTGGGCTTTGAAAGAGCGGAGTGAACAAATGCTGATTGAAATTGATCATGCAGAAGTTTAGTTAACTTCAGCGTAACGATGGCCCCCAAGAGCAAGAAGACCGGTGACACCATCAACTCGCGCCTGGCGCTTGTGATGAAGTCCGGAAAGGGTATGTTATATCAGAATTTGCAAGTTCAGACATTTTAGACAGTCTCTAACCGTGCCATTCAGTCACCCTCGGCTACAAGTCCACCATCAAGACCCTCCGCGTGAGTACACCGGATATTTCAGGCAATCGCCGTGCAGAACGTCCGTGAATGGTCGACTAATAATCTCAACAGTCCGGCAAGGCCAAGCTGGTCATCATCGCCGCTAACACTCCTCCTCTCCGCAAGAGTGAGCTCGAGTACTACGCCATGCTCGCCAAGGCCCCCGTCCACCACTTCTCCGGAAACAACGTGAGTGACCACGAGCCGTCTGTTTGGGATCTCTATGGAGCGGGGTTCGGACCTAGAACTGGAACGACTTCGTCCAATAGAGATCACAACGTAAAGCTGGAGTATGCGCTAACATCGTGAACAGATTGAGCTCGGTACCGCCTGCGGTAAGCTCTTCCGTACCTCCACCATGGCTATCCTCGATGCTGGTGACTCCGACATCCTGTCCAGCCAGTAGGTGTAAAGCCTGGTCAATGAATTCATGTTATGTCTGAACGGCGGTATGCCATGATGCACAACGTCACGGCACGATTTAGATAATGACAATGAACTTTACATCTATATTGGGTTTCGTTTTAAATGCTGTAGGATAAGATTGTAGGAGTGATTAGGAAGATAGCACGGCCGTATCACTAAAGAACCGGGGGAAGAGCGGCAGCTCGACTCCACTTTATGAGTCACATGATAAAAGTCCAGGCATATTGATAATTATAAAGCAGCTGAAAGTCGTCACATTCCATTCCGCAGTAAAACATGTTTCATTCACAGCTTAGAAAGACTGATATATCAGTCTGAACACTCCAAGAATGTCGGAGTTGCCGTAGTCTGACAAATGCGTCATAGCGTGTACGGGATGTGATTGGCGGAGAGGGTAGGGTTTAGGGCTGTGCCACTCGGTAGCGGGCGCTTGCTTGGAAATCAACGTGGAAAGTGCCTGCGCCCATAATCCCCCTTCCCTTTCGCCTCCCGACACCACCTTTTTCGACAACCTCACCGTTCGCAGGAAGTGCAGCCGCCCCATTTCCAGCAGTCAAGATGGCCCGTCGTCCCGCGAGATGTTACCGCTACTGCAAGAACAAGGTGCGTTCGACCGTTTGATGGATTTTTGTGCGTTTTTGTGGATTTTTTGGATGGGATTTTGTCTTGTGGGGAGCATTTGTCAACCAACACCAACGAGGATACGCGCTACGAAGAGATGCTCAGGACGATGGATATCATGTCTTGCTCGACGATGGATGGAAAAAAGGTGTACCAGACAAGGATGGACATGAATACTGACCTGATTCTCGAATGACAGCCCTACCCTAAGTCCCGGTTCAACCGTGGTGTTCCCGACCCCAAGATCCGTATCTTCGATCTGGGACGTAAGAAGGCCAACGTCGATGACTTCCCTCTTTGCGTTCACCTCGTCTCCAACGAGTACGAGCAGCTGTCCTCCGAGGCCCTCGAAGCCGCCCGTATCTGTGCCAACAAGTATGCCGACCCGCCGATTCCACTACGCCCAGCCCTCATCCACTAACACATATATCCAGGTACCTCGTGAAGATCGCCGGTAAGGAAGGTTTCCACCTTCGTGTCCGTGTGCACCCCTTCCACGTCATCCGTATCAACAAGATGTTGTCTTGCGCCGGTGCCGATCGTCTCCAGACCGGTATGCGTGGTGCCTTCGGTAAGCCCCAGGGTACCGTTGCCCGTGTGAACATTGGCCAGATCATTCTGTCCGTCCGCACCCGTGACGCCAACCGTGCTGCTGCCATCGAGGCTCTCCGCCGCTCCATGTACAAGTTCCCCGGTCGCCAAAAGATCATCGTCTCCAAGAACTGGGGTTTCACTCCCGTCCGCCGCGAGGACTACGTCCAGCTCCGCCAGGAGGGCAAGCTCAAGCAGGACGGTGCCTACGTCCAGTTCCTGCGTGGCCACGGTCTCGTTGAGGAGAACATGAAGCGTTTCCCCGACGCCTACGAGAACGTTTCTCAGGCTTAGATGGATGTTTAGCGCTTTAGGACACGAAAGAAAAAAAAGACGTATTGAACTATTCCCACTTTTCATGTCCTGTTTGTTATCCTTGATGTCATTTAGTCACCGTATGGGGCGGAGTTATTTAACGCGGATTTCCTCGGCTTGCATGGTTGCACAGTATGATACTGTAGGACGATCCCGAAAGAGTATTATGGAGTAGTACTTCGTAGTACGTAGTCCAATAAGCTTCAGTCATGTCAACGGAATCATAGCCTCTTTTGCTTTACGACTTGTGATCTGGAAAGATAAATGATATCATATCTGTGCTATCATCGACCAATGTATTCCAAATGTACTAGTAGTACACCACTGTTAACGAGAATGTCCATCTAGCAATTTAGTAGCAGTAGACCCTCTGTATGATGTAGTTGATTTGTATTTGTTGACTTGACAAATACCAAATGTCAGACTACTAGCGTCCATTTCCATTGATCTTCTCTCCAGACTCCAGATTAACTCGGATTACCATAGAAGATCGTAGTATAGTCCTGCCGAGAGTTGCACAACCTACACCACTATCAGCGGTCAGTCTACCGCGTCTTCATCCTCTTAACATATCTGCAAGTACTTGACTACTACAGTCCATCTATTTCTTTAGTATTATCTATATGAACATGAAATAGATAAACTGATAGTATCATCTACCGAAGTTGCAAGACTACACAGGCAGACACGACCGAGGGGCTGAGTACTACACAGTACGAGGTAAACGCCACAGCTGAAAGAGCGGGCACAGCCAGCAGTCGAGACCTGAAGCGAGCAAAAACCCCTGACTGACTGACTGACTGACTGACTGACTGACAGCCCAGCCTCGCCTCGCCTTGGGCCATGCAGGCAACACGGAGGAATGATGACATGTCATTGAGATCAGAGCCCAGTGGAGAGAACGATGGGGTGATCAACACTGGCTGATCCCTCGATGGCTTGACCTGTTTAGTATTTTGTGGAGAAGCCAGTCAAAAAAATCAGGAGAGAGATGCATACACACACACACACACACCGCGAGGTACGAAGCATACTACCTCTCATCGTGTCGGTCGGTGGGTTGAGGTGGCAGCAATAGGAAACTTCCACGGGAAGTACGTACTTGTACTCCATCCATAGGGAGTGGTGATATCGAGACTCGACAGATCCCGCAGACAGACGTCGATCAGCCGATCGTCACCATGCAGTTGATCGGATTCGATAGTCAGCGTCACCTCCTTTCCTTTCCCTCCCCCCAGCTTTTTGCTGTATGTATTTACGGGGTGTTTAGTCTGGATGCTGGGTTGGGGACGGGACGCTATTGACAAGACTATTATTTATTTATAAAGTAGACAAAGAAAACGCCAGAATAAGAAGGACATCCTTGTTCTGACATAAATTGTGGATAAGATTGTCCCGTCGAGGGATTTAAACTTTTTCCTCGTTTTGTTTCAAGCGACAGAGAGAGAAAGTTCCTGCAATTATCCACCCACCGACCCGGTCTGGTGACTGGCATCATCCGGGTTCATTTCGTCCGGTTGACTTATTCGTCTTGTCTACCATACTTAGTCTACCCATAGCACTATTCGACTACTTGTCTCTTCATCATTAAAGAGGGGAATCATTTCCTGTGTCAAACCCCTCCTCCCCTCCCAAGGACCATGGAGCATTTCTTGCTGGCTTAAACCTTCGCCTTATCTCCTCCCTCCCACGTCATCTCCGACTCATCAGCGAGCAGAGGCCCTCGCGTCAGCAATCACCGCTATCGGACAAATCTGGCCATCTTTACTTTTTCTTTCCCCCTACTCTCCCCCTGCAGGCCTCGAGACGCTTCTTCTGCCTGACTGTCCAATTTTTGGTGGCATTTAGGCTTGCTCGTGGCTATATAGTCTAACCCTCCCTTGCCTCATCTCCAGCTGTTCCCATCTCAGTCTCTCCGAACACGGTCACGCGGGGAAGATCCACCGCGCGATCGATAACTGTTCTTATCTCTCGCTATCTGCCTCTCCCTCCCCTCTCTCCCCCCAACCTCCAGCCACTTCCATTCTTGCTGCTATCGCCCCATCGCTCCCCATCTGCCAAGTCAACCCATGGCGTTTCGTCTACCTCCCCAAGTCCCCCGTCGACGCCCTTCCTATTCCAACTCCCTCCCTTCTCCCGCCCCCGATATCACCTCGCCCCTCTCGTTACTACCGGAGAACGAAGCTACAGAATGGGTGCTCTTCTCGCCGACCCAACAACCCTCCACCACCGCCCGCACGCATACCACCTCCACTGATCGCACCCCACGAACACAGGGCATATCACGCTTAAGTGATTTTGGTTCGTTTGGCACGGCAACTCGATCTGCGATCGGACCAGAAAGCGAGGATGTCGGCGACGCTCTCGATGAGCCGTTGGACGATGACGGGACGGAACTAGATAGTCTGGATGATGGATTGCACGCCTTTCGAGCCCCGTCCTTGGTTCAAGAAGACCAAGGGGCTCCTGCGGTTCTCCCTGCCCATGATGGATTAGGCAGTTTCCAGGCCTCTAGCCAGGCTGTACAAAACCAGTTGTGGCAGCACGAACAGTACAATCCAAATCGGAGACCCGACCTACAGCCACGCCGACGCTCGAGTGTCCAGCGTCAGTTGGACATGGTCGGAAATGAAGAAGAGGCGGACATGGAGAGAGAACGGTGGCAGCGCATTGAGAAATGGAGAATGGAACAAAGCCGGGTGCTTCTGCAGGAGATTGAGAAAGCAACGCGCAGACGGCGTGATAGTCGCGCCAGCGGCATCACCGACCCCGTTGCATCGTATCCGACGGTTTCGGACGTTCCAGATGCGGTCCTTGAGACCCCCAAGGAGTCCGAGTCTGCTTCGACGGCAAAGGAGGAAGAAGACCAGGACGAGTCTCTGTTGCAGCGAATCACCCGCAAGGTCATCCGCGACCTCATCGGGATCGATGATTCGCTGCTATCTGTAATTTTCGGGGAATCATTGCCCTCCACTGAAGATGACGAGCCAATTTCAGCGAGAGAATATGCATCGAATATCGAGGCACTCAATCAGGAGCTGGACTCCGTGCCGGAAGACCACCCTATCTGGCAGAGGAAAGTGCTGCAGCGCATCGCGCACGAGCTGGGGATTCTCGTCAACCAGCTGTGCGAGCATCCCGGTGCGCTCACGACCTATCTGAACATGTCTCATGAGATCCCGAATCAGTATGCTGGCATACCTCTCGATCGCGTGCCAGAAGAGGCCGATGCACCTTCTGCCTCGGTGGGTCCTACCAATCTGGAGTCCACTATGAACGCAGAATCGGTCCTCTCTCCACACTTTTCGCCTACATTGGGCGACCCCAGTAGCCGAGAACATGCGGCGCAATGGGGCATCGAGGATGACGATATCGTCAATCGTTCAGCCAGCCATTCCGCGGCTGAGCCGCTGGCTGACTCGGCACGCGCCCAACAGGAGAAGGAGTATTGGGAGCGAGAGCTGGATATTCGGATGGTCTTCCGGTACCTGCGGAACCGATTCACCCACCGGGGCAGCAACAACGACACTTATCACAGCACTCCCCGCAGAGCCCCGCAAGATG